CTTTATCATTATGTTATGACCCTCTTTGGATCTTTTTATGGTTTTTTGTCTTGAAATCTACTTTATGCAATAGAAGTATAGCTACTCCTGCTCTTTTTTTCATTTCCATTTGCATGGAATATCTTTTCCTATCCCTTTATTTTTGGTCTATGTGAGTCTTTATAGGTGAAGTGGGTTTCTTGCAGACAACATATAGTTGGCTCTTGTTTTTTAATCCATTCAGCCACTCTATGTCTTTTGACTGGAGAGTTTAGTTCATTCACATTCAATGTTGTTACTGATAGGTAAGGATTTAGCACTGCCATGTTGTTATTTAATATCTGATTTCTGATTGTCTTGTGGTCCTTTCTTTCTTCCTTCCTATCTTTCTTTTCTAAAGTTGATTTTCTCTGATAGTGTGTTTTAATTTCTTGCTTTTTATTTTTGTGCGTCTGTTATAGGGGTTTTTATTTGAAGTTACCATGAGCCTTACAAAAAATATTTCATATCCAATTATTTTAAACATATGTCAACTCTGCTTATAAACAAAAAATAAGCAAGCAAAGAGAAACCTAACAGAAATTGTACATTTTAGTATCATCCTCCTACCCCTGCTTTTTAACTTTTTGGTGTTTCCATCTGTATCTTTTTATACTGTCTGTCAAAAATTTATATATATATATATATATATATTTTTTTTTTTTTTTTGAGACAGAGTCTCACTCTGTTGCCCAGGCTAGAGTGAGTGCCATGGCGTCAGCCTAGCTCACAGCAACCTCAAACTCCTGGGCTCAGGCGATCCTCCTGTCTCAGCCTCCCAAGTAGCTGGGACTACAGGCATGTGCCACCATGCCCGGCTAGTTTTTTGTATATATATTTTTAGTTGTCCAATTAATTTCTTTCTATTTTTAGTAGAGACGGGTTCTTGCTCAGGCTGGTTTTGAACTCCTGACCTCGAGCAATCTGCCCGCCTCAGCCTCCCAGAGTGCTAGGATCACAAAAAATTTATATTTTTGATATGTTTGTCTTTTAGTCTTTCTACTCAAGATATAAGTGATTTATACACTGCATTTATAGCAAAAGAGTATTCTAATATTTGTGTACTTGCTCTTACTAGTGAGTTGTATACCTTCAGATGATTTTTTATTGTTCATTAATGTCCTTTTCCTTAGTACTGAAGGACTTCTTTTAGCATTTCTTGTAGGACAGGTCTGGTGTTGATGATATCCCTCAGATTTTGTTTGTCTGGGAAAATCTTTATTTCTCCTTCATGTTTGAAGGATATTTTTGCAGGATATAGTATTCTAGGGTTAAGGTTTTGTTCCTTCATCACTTTGAATATGCCATGCCACTTTTTCCTGGCACGTAAGGTTTCCACTGAGAAATGTACTGCCAGATGTATTGGAGTTCCTTCATGTGTTATTTTTTTCTTTTTGCTTGCTTCCCTTAGGACCTTTTCTTTATCCATGACCTTTGGAAGCTTGATTATTAAATGTCTCAAGGTACTCTTGTTTGGGTTAAATCTACTTGATATTCTGTGACCTTCTCTTTTATACCTGAATATTTATATTTTTCTCTAGGTTTGGAAAGTTTTCTGTTATTATTTCTTGGAACAAACATACTACCATAGTCTCTCTATCTCCTCTTTAAGGCCAATAACTCTTAGATTTGCCCTTTTGAGGGTTTTTTCTAGATCTATAGGCATGCTTCATTCTTTTTTCTTGTCTTCTGTGTATTTTCAAATAGGCTGTCTTCAAACTCATTAATTCTTTCTTCTGCTTGATCAATTCTTCTGTTGAGAGACTCTGATGCATTTTTCATTTTATCAATTGAATTTTTCAGCTTCAGAATTTCTGCTTGATACTTTTTTATTATTTCAATCTCTTCATTAAATTTCTCTGATAAGCTTGTGAATCCCTTCTTTGTCTTTTCTTAAAGTTCATTGAGCTTCTTGAGGACAGATATTCTGAATTCATTGTCTGAAAAGTCACATATCTCCATCACTTTGGGATTGGTTACTGGAACCTTATCTCGTTCATTTGGTGGCATGATATTTTCCTAGATGTTCTCATTGCTTGTAGATGTTCGTTGATGACTGAGCATTGAAGAGTTAGGTATTTATTTTTTAATCTTTGCAATCTAGGCTTTTTGAACCCATCCTTCTTGAGAAGGCTTTCCAGATATTCAAAGGGAATTGAATATTGTTATCTAAATCTTCAGTAACTACAGCCATATCAGCACTGGGGGTGCCCCAAGTCCAGTAATGCAGTGACTCTTGAAGACTCGTGGTGTTGCTTTGGTGGATTTGTGTACGATATAGGAGAATCCCCTGGATTACCAGGCAAAGTCTCTCACTCTTTGTACTGGGCCACTGGAGTTTGGGAAGGAGCGATGTGATCCCTCCCTTATGGCCACTGCAGGTAGGACTATGCCAAGTCATAGCTGAAGCCAACCCAGTCTCACCCAAATCATATGGTAACTATTGCCTGGCTACCTCTGATGTTTATTCAAAGCACAAGGGCTCTTTAGTCAGCAGATGGTGAATCCTGCCAGGACTTTCAGGGCAGTGTGTTTACTTCTGGACCATGGTGGGTCCAGAAATGCTATCTAGAAACTAAGGCCTGGACTCAGGGACTTCAGGGGTCTGCTTGGTACTTTATTTGACTGTGGCCGAGCTAGTCACCAAATTACAAAGCAAAGTCCTCTGAACTCTTTCCTTTCCTTTTCCCAAGTGGAAGACTCTCCCCGAGCTACACTGCCTGGAGTTGGGAGAGGAGTGACGTAGGCACTGGCTTGGCTGCTGCTACTGGTGTCTCAGTGGGTCACATACACCCCAAGCCCACTGGCTCTGAGCCAGCACAGCCACAGGAATTGCCCAAGGATTGTAGCCTTTGTGGCCTAACTGCCTTATAAATTTATTCCAGGCCTCAAGCCACTTTTTGTCAGCCAGATGGAGCTAGCCAGAACTTTGGTTTCGGAACATGGGTTTGAGGGCAGAGAATTTTCCTTTGGCCAAGGCTGGTCTAAATGTTCCCTCTGTGGGCACAGGCAGAATTCTGCCCTGTGCTGTGTGTTCCCCCGTGACAGAGCGGCCCTGAGTTCTAATGCAAAGTCCTACAGTCATTTCACTTTCCTTCCCCCAGACGCACAGATTCTGTCTCTCCACTAGACACACTGCCGGGGCATGGGGCAGGGGTGGTGCAGGCAATGCAAGATTGACTTTTCTGCCCTCTTCAGTTTTCTTTCCTTGACATAATGTTAAAACCAGGTACTGTGATCGCTCACCTGATTTTGGGTTCTTCTGAAGGTTGTCTCCTGGAGTCACAGTTGCTGAATTTGGTGTTTATGCAGAGAGAAGATATCTGGAGGTTTCTATTTGGCCATCTTGCCCTTTTAGGGTCAGATCTTTGAGCTGATGGTCTGTTGTGAGATTAGTCTAGGGTGAATGATCATGTTCACTCACAGGCACTGTGGTGTGGCCCCACGCCCTTCCCATTATTTCCCTGCGTGCTCTGGAGTCAACCCTGGCTGGTGCCTAGCCTTGGGGCAGCCATAGCTAGTGAAGATATCTGGGATGTTCTGTGCCTTGGGCAAGCCTTCCATTCTGGGTGGGAAGTCAGCTATATAGGCTTTGAGAAATAAAGTCAAGTATCTCTTTGGAAGGAGACTTTTAAAATGGACTTGCATGCTTCTCCATGCAAAAGCCAAGCCCTGGGTTTTCCTGTCTGCACCTCCCCCCTAGGTGCTTGTAGCCCTGCTCCAAACATGCACCCCAGTGGGCTAAGAGCAGAGCCCTCACCTCCTGTTTCCTCTTCCCTTGCTTTTCATCCCCCCTAAAATAGGAATTTGGGGGATTATCTCTAAAACTCTGTCAGTACCTCTGGTGAATATTAATTCTTGTTTTAACTAATTTAGATAGCAATTAATGTGGTTATTACCTGAAAATAAAATCTTTTAATTTTTTTTTGTTTTTTTTATCTTCAGTGGAATAACAACTTATTTTATTATTCAAATGGGGCTCACTTCCTGCTGTTTTCAATACGATTTTTAATAAATATGTAAATTCTAAAGTTAATTTACAGCATTCATTGGGAGGCATGATTTTTAAAATGACAAAAATTTGATGGATTATAAAATTATCCCCCTTAAAATCATCAGTCATAGTGAACAGAATGTACCAACCTCTTATAATTTTACAGTTTTTTTTCTTCATCTTATCTTCTATTAGGGACTCACTTAAAATTGATTATAAAATGGTATATTTCTTAGGCCATAATTCATTCACAGATTAATTAGATTTTCAGTTAATATCCCATCATCGCATGGGATGGTAGCCAATGGTGTTTGTAGTGGTTCAGAGTTGCAGGAGCGAAATCCTGATTGCTATTCCCCGGTGACTGAAGCTACCCACGCTAATCACTAATCACATTCTGACCAGATAAAGTAGAACATCCTTCACTCCATTTCTTTTCTGGTTGGCTCACATCAAGAGATCTTTATTGGCCCTGACCAAGAAACCAAAATGTACTCAAACATTTTTGTGAGGGGGTGGCTCTTATTTTTTTTTTTTCCTTGCCTAAAATGAAATTTCTGTAGCTGTCCCCAGAAAGCATCAAGATAATGGGGTGGGCATGTGTGCGTGTGTGTGTGTGTGTGTGTGTGTGTGTGTGTGTGTGTGTGTGTGTGTGTGTGTAGGTGTCCGGGCTTAGCAGGCTGGGCCTTAAACATCTCTTTTCTAATCATTTTCCAATTGGAAGCAGCCTTCAGATTAATTTCATGATTTAAAATAATCCTTTGGTAGTGCCCAACAGGAATGTTTAAGGGAGATTTTGCCAGTAACTTCTTTCACACTGATTTAAGGAAAAGCATTTTTCCCAGTTGCTTAAGAGAACTGTAGATACACATGGCAGAGACACCATAAGCACTGAATCAGCCCACTCACATTGAACTAACTGAAACTCTGGGTTTTCATGGAGTTGAAGAAAAGATAATTATCCCCCCTTCCACCCTCACGTCTGCAGCTGTGCCAGTTCTGCTGTGTGAAAATTTGCTACCTGTTACCTCGGGCTGCGCCTGCCACGCTGCATTTCCCTGCGCACCTAAGGACATGACCCGGCCAGAGATCTCCAGCGGCAACACTAAGGCTTCGCTTAGTCCTTCTTCCTGGGGAGATGGACCCCACTTAAGTCACTACAGGACTCTCAAAATCTCTCATATTCGTTAAGGACCTTCAGTATTTTTTTAACTCAACCCAGTATTCATGCATTGTAAGGCAAATCCCCATTTCATTTTGTTCGTAGTGAGGATTTTTTTTCTTCACCTAAAACCATTTGGATATTTTAAAAACCTCCCTGATATTGTCAGTCTTCCCATTGCTATATGGTATAATCCTCACTTATTTTGTGTGCTTTAATCTCTAACCTTGTAGTCTTTCATGCTGTTGATTATTTCAGGGGGCTTGGTTTATGACAATAGAAATGCTCCTTGAAAGTAGTATATTAATCAGGTTTTTTTGAAGAGCAAGATCTATTTTCCTGTTTACTTACTGGGGAAGTTATTATCTCCACTTTCTAAATAAAAGAAACCTAAATGTCTTCTGGATGATTAGACATTAACTACCCATCAGGAAATAAATGAGCATTCCCCACCAGCGTACGGCATCTTGTCTTCAGATCTCAATCATTTTCAAAGACACTAAAGGGACACTAAGGAGGTGAAAGACAAAGTTATAAGAAACAAAGATAGCCAGTAATAAGAAATATAACCAGCATCCTCCCTTTATTCCACTAGCATTAACGGACCACCTATGTGCCAAGCATGTTCTGGGCACAGGGATGCAAAGATAAATAGGTTCACAGTCCCTCCATGGGAGACTGAGCCCTGACAACCAGTGTGCACGATAAATGCCAACTAGTGCCATGAGAACGGTCAGCAGAGGAGGAAGGGAGAACGGGGTCAGTGCTCAAGGCTTCTGGTCAGAGAAGGGTTCAGAGATTTCCCTCCACCCGAGTCTCAAGAGATGAGTGTGGGCCACCCTGGAGGTGGAGAGGACACACTAGAGAGAGGAAGATGTGTGAATCAGAACACAGACACTCACTGCCTTTCTGGGCTCAAAATTCAGCATGCTGCCACCCTCAGCTAGCCGGCCAAATAATGCGCTTGATAACTATCTGCATGCTACTGACTTTTTTTTTCCAAGTTGTTGCTGAGCAGTTTTAATTTTATCTGCAGATCCCTGGATCATTTGTGTCCTGATTACTTTTGAGATTGCTTTTTTACCCTTGTCCCGACACTGCCATCGAGCACTGCCTGGTTGAGCCCATTGATTCCTGCACTTGCCTGGGAGTAGATTCCATTGCATCACTGAGAAAGGTCGTGCACTTACTCCTGAAGCTAAGGTCTGTGTCTTAAGCTGTGCACAGACTGGACAAGGCTTCACTACAAGAGCCAGCCATAGAAGGATGGACAGATGACTCTTGCCCTGAGAAATGAGCCCCATTTTCCTGCGAATGTTGCTATTGCAGCTCTCTACCTACTACGTGAAGCCGTGCTTTTATGGGGAGAACAACAGAAGAAAGGCTCTTTTTGCCCCCTGAGTAGGAAGGTGAAAATGTGGGTGAAAGAGGGGATTTTTTTTACCATTAATTGTAGTTCCTGGGCTTAGTAAATCAGAACTATGTTTTTTCTACATTGTTGAGAGACAGTATTAACCAGAGCTCCCTTTCTTTTAGTTGATTTGTTCATGAGTCAAGAGGTTTAGAAGGTGCTCTGCCTGCCACCAGAGGAACATTCCTTCCAACATTTCTGGGTAAAGGCTTCAGTGTCTCCTCCAAGGCCCCTCTAAGGACACTGCCCTGGGAGTCCTGTTGAATGGGGCCGCTGGCCACACACAAACACAAGAGCTGCTCTGTTTCCTTTCGACCAAGCTGCTGCCCATACTGGGATGAACATATTGACGCTTTCACAAACATTTTTCCCTCTGTGCAATTTTTTCCTTGAGGCAGAAGAAAGAGACCTTCTCATTCTTTATCTTGAGCGTTTTGATAGGCCTCCTTTGAGAAGGTCATTGTCTGCTGCAGCAAAATAATCATGGGATTTCTGGACAAGCTGGTAAGAGAAAAATGATTCATTATTTCAGGAATTATTTTGCCTTCAGTCCCCCAAATGGATGACGGCTTCTAACAATACGTAAGAGAGTGCAAGGCTTAACTTATTATATGAAAGGTTATACTTTAAAAGGAAAAGAAGTTCAAACATTACATTTTTAGCTCTGCTGTAATATAGCAAGGGTCAAGGCAGCCCTTCTGTGAGCCCCGTGGTCCTCTGGATGTTATTGTGTGCTGCTCCCGCTGCAAGGGAGGGCCTGCCTGCCCTCCTTCCCTTCTCATCTACTCGAGCTAATGAGATTGGAGGGATTTTTTCAAGTTCTATTCAGGCAGCACCCTCCCGCTCTGATCCCTTTGGAATATCCGAACACATCGCATATTCGTCCATCTAATAGTCTCAATCCAGCCCCATAGTGCCTCTTGCCATGTCACACAAAATGGTGCATCTTCACAGCACGTTATATTTTGCTGCGTTGGGGGTGAGGGGAGCTACCTAACTGCTATGGGTTGTATCGTGACAGAGACCAAAAGGTAGTTTATAATATAACTGGCACATCCACGTGTGATACCAAGACACCTGTTATGTTGGGTTATTTTTGCAATAAAATTTGCCTGGCCTAAGCGCAAGGTAGATACTCAGAATGAGGCAGCTTGACCGATAAGACACTGAATTTTGAAATGAAAACTGGAGAGGCTGGGCGATCAATATGACCTTGAGTACTCACAGCCAAATAACTTATGGAAATAATGTAAAGAAAGACCCTGTGAACTCTTTCGCCTGACAGAAGGGTTTTAAATAATATTTTAAGAAAAGCAAAAGCAAACATCCCCTGGACCTTCTTTAAAGATTAGGTCTAAAATGAAAGACCCTGAGTTACACAATTAACTATTGATTTTGTTGATCCATATTTAATTCTCATAGCAATTGAGCTGTGTTTACACAGCCATGCGGGGCAGACCATACTTCACTCGGGGCAAGGCGCCTTTCACTTTTACATTAATTTAAAAATTAAATTGTTCTGTGCATGCAAGACAAACAAAAAATAAAGTTTATTTTTATTGTAGCGGATGGCTGGCTTAAACCTCATAAAGTGGCGTTAAGCCAGCTGAGGCGGTTTATGAAGAGAATTCCTTTTATAATGCAGTAGTCAGCTTGCTGAGTGAATACACCTCAGGTGGCAGGGAGACACTAAAAAGCATCTGCATGCTACCTGGTACTAGGATTTTGCACTAAAACAGCTATCATTTTAATCTCCCCACAGTTTAATTTTTTTATTTGATACATCCAGTAGTATCTGTGGTTTCATCCCTCAATATTCAATCTTGTTGCTCGATTTAAGAATGCCATGAGCATGATTTGCATTCTCACCTGGAAGCCCCAAGACATGTCACCAAGTTTGCCCCTGCCTGAAGGGCACAGGAGCCTGAATTTGAGCAAAGTGCCTGCACCTGGCTCGGGCCAGGTGAAGGAAGCATTTAAGAAAAGGGTGCAGCCAGTGTCTGTACCATCTATCATGGGCCTGCTCTTTCCAGTAACATTTCTCCCCCTGAGGAACGTTTTGTATTGGCTGTTGATCCTGGATTTCCAGAAAGCTGTGGGAGCTGCTGCCTCACCCAACTGTTGGCCAAGCCCTTCTAGAGGTGCAGAAGAAGGCCCCACATGGCTCAGAACAGAGCTGTCCAACTAGGGTGGCCACGGGATGTGAGTCCACATCTCTCCGCTCTTGACAAAGAGGAAATCGTGGTTGCCAAAGTAACCGGTAGTCAGACATGCATTACTCTAAGAGGTGTCCTGGTTCTTGATGTTAACCTAGAAACTGAGACCTGCTGCTGCTAGTCTGTGTAAGGATAAGAAAGCAGCTGTGTTACCACTAGTCGGGTGACAGTCTGAAAAGATCTAAGTGTATGAGTCTCTTCATTATGTAAAAACAGACAAAGAATAGTTGGTCAAGTCTATGAACTCTAGCAGGAAATGATGCAGTGAAAACAGATCAAGTAATGACAACTTTTGTTAAGACTCTAAAATATGCAAGATACAGTGTCAGGATCAGAAAAAGAAAGAATAAAATTGGTCTGTGGTCGCAAGAAGCCTGCAATTTATTGAGAAAGAGGGACCTTGATATGAAAAAAAATCCTATACAAAAGAATGGATATAAGCTCAGGATCAAATGGATAATTTAGGCCAGGAATTCAAAGGGAGAAAGATCCCTGCAGATGAACTTTCATAGAAACAGAACCGGCAGCTCTTGATAACTAAAGAGGATCAAGTTATAAAATTTGGTTACTATTGACAACAATACGTAATCAGAGAAAAGAGAAGAGATTCCAATTTTAAACATGTTGAATTTAGGAAGTAACCAGATCTAGAAAGGTTAAGAAAGGCAAGTGTAAATTGTAGTTCCTTAACGTATGAAAAACATCTTCCTGAATGATGTTACAGACTGAAAACAGACGAAGATCAAAAGAAGCGTTAGGACATCGAGGAAGTTATTTCAACAATAGGATTAAGAGGAGGCACATCCATAGCTTTGAGTTTGACAGGGTATTTGAGTTCTAGGTGCCATTATCAGACTAAAGAGCTGGCTGGGTAAACTATTTGTCTAATTCAATGAGGGAGTTTTCAGGGGCTAACCTTCTAATATGTCTGGAAAGTTGTCCTACATTGACTTCATATGAAAGAATCCTTAACAGGTGCATCCCATGTGGCACTGACTTTGTCTCATACACCACTGTATCTCCAATGTCTAGGATACTACCTAGTACATAGCAGGTACTCAAGAAATAGCTGACGAATGAAAAAATAAGCAAGCAGATGTTGTGAGGAGCAAACTCCCTATTTAAGTGTCCATGAAAATCTGGGTACAGAGTCACTGTCACATTGTGGCAGAGCAGGGGATGGAGTCCAGAATGGAAGCAGATTCCCTTCGGCACGTTCCCAACCAGCACATCTGCTCATGCTAGGACCCCCAGTGCTGACTGGGTAATGACAATTAATGACACTAGAGTGCAACACAGAATTTATTGTTTAGTGTTTCTGAATCTTTAGAGCAATGCCTACCAAAAAATCTTCCCTTTAGAACAAGGATCAATAAATGGGTGCCAATTCTAAGTTGTCCTGGCTCTCAGGATTCAATATGTCAAATAACTTTATCCAAAAGAAAACCTGACCAGCTCTTGAACTGGAACACGAATTGCAGTAGGAGACGCATAGCTTACACATGAGTAGAGCAAACATTCTCATATCTACGAATATCAGTGTGTTCCTGGTGAACCTTAGCTTGTGGTCCTGTTTGATTCCATGGCTATTGTAATGTGCCAAATAGATTGGGTGCCATAATGCACAGTGGCTCCTAAATCCCCTAAAAGTGTGTTGGGAGTAATGTAAGGTTGTCTGGTTATTTATAGATTAATAAAAAACATAGAATATTTTCCCCTTACTTTGAAAGTCACACCATGCTTCGTCAAAACTTTTGCACTTTCAGGTATAATTTTATGATACCTACCATTTTGATGGCATTGAAGATTTTCTTTTGGAAGGAGGACTTCCAGGAAAAAAAATTAGCATAACCTATTTTTTATACTCACCTGATCCATGAGAAAGTATATTTTAATTTTTTTTTATAAGAGCAGCCAAAAATCTGTCACTCCAAAGTGAAAGCATAGCTGTATAGTGTCAGAATATACATATGGCCCCTTCATGCTACATTTTCATCTGACAAAGTTCATGGGCGTTTTATGCCACAAACTCACTGACATCTAAACCAGACATGGACCAGCTTGCTGGACAGACAGGCATCATATTTAAGACATAAAGTGATGGAAAGGGTAGGCAAAAAAATGTCTAATCAATCTTTTAAGTCAAGCAAGCAATATATATGCTTTGCTTTATTCATAATAGTGCCTATAAATTAAAGGAAGAAAAGCTTGATGCCTTCACTCTCATCAGCCAGAATCATTAGCCTGACACTAAAATGAACAGATTTAGATGTTCCCATCTCAGGAACTGCTCAATTCCCATTCCAGAATAAACTTTTTAGTTAATACTACTGTGCTAGAAGGAAAAGGAATCTAGCAACACAGAGAAGCCTGTTCCATTTAGTTAAGCTGCTTACACAAGCTGATATCAGTGATCTGGCTTATTTGCCCAATTCCAGATCACCAGAGAAGAGTGCACATTTTACTTTTGGAGAAATTGACCAAGACTCATCAAATGTGATGCATTACTGAACGTGACCAACCTATATTTTAAATTAGATTTGTGGGTCCATCTACCACCTGGAATACAAAAAATGCAATTTTTCAAATGGCCATTTCAAATATTGGTACTAACATCAGAGTTTGCAGAAATCACAAATTTCCTTTGCATGTTCATATAACAATTTTGCCTCCTTTTATAATTACATGCCCTTCTTCCCAAATACCCTTGTCTGGCATAAGCAAAGTTTGTGATTTTTGTTGTTTCGGTTTTTCTCTTCCCACTAATGGACATGGCCCCACATCTTCCTCCATTTTCCATATACGGGAACATTTCCTATCTCTGATGAAATGACTTCTCTTTCCTTCAGTGCTTTTGATCTCGTCTTTAAATGTTTTTGTTTTGTTTTTTTGGGGGGAATGCCTCCTAACCTTGAAAGGCAACCCTTTCCCTTTTTAAAAAAGGGAATAATTTCAAACAAACCCAAACCTCCCAACGAACCTCCCCCCGCCTGCCTTTTTCCCAAAAAAGAAAGCCAATTTTCCCCCCTCTGGGTTCAGGGGTTCCAGTGGAGGTCATCGAAAACCACCAATCATAGTAAAGGGCAGCAGTATAGTTAATACAGTCATAAAAGCGCATCTCAGCTGAAAATTACTCTTTCACCTAATAAAACCAGCCTGCCCTGGAGACACTGAAGAATCTCTAGGACCCCAGCAAGAAAACAGAGTGCCCCCAAGTGCCACACCACGTCACCCTGTGGGGGGTTGGACGAAGAGAGCAGTTCTCTATTACCACCGCGTCACATTAATTTTTCAGAAGGGCAAGTGAAGAGTAATGTGTCCAGTTGAGGTAATGGAGGGAACTGAGCTCCAGGAGAAAATAATTATCCAAGTTGGAATCTGACCAGGTTAACAGGGTTAACACCACAACTCTTGAGAAGAGTGTGGCGGGGTCTCTCGTGCTCACCAAAGGTCATTCTATCTATTTTTATGTCTCATCCAGAAAGTCGCTCCGCCAGGGAAGCAGTAAGAGGTGGCATTAAGGAAGAGATTAACTAGTGCCTCTGAGAAAAGAGAAATGAATTGAGCTGCCTCTTTTCCCGTAAGGGTGGCCCGTCCCCAGAAAATACCACTTAACCCAGACTTCAAAATGTGCACAAATCTTCTACTAAGAGACCCTAGATTACAATACCTCCTTCCCATTCCCACAACAAAAAACATAGCTTAAAACTCTGCCCTGAGTCTATCTTCGTGGTACCCAAGATTTGCTCTTCAGAAAAGGGATGGCATAAATCGCACCTTCAACTTCAACCCAAAGCCCTGGATTAGACAGACTGTCTCCTAGATTTGATTTATCTGCTGCCTATTTCTCCACCCATGGAGAGGCTTGGCTGCCCAACCAAACTCACTGCAGTGCTCTAATTTTCCTGCATCTTCTTGGCCCTGATGCACATGTGACTGTTTGGTTACAATCTGCATCATACGTAATGAGAGATGTTGGGTGGTGGTAGGGGGGTGCCATGGTGACACTTCTTCCCAATTTAGGGTGTTTCTTTTCACATGGAAGAAGGGAGATCCCTAGGATAACATTCCTGAGTCTCTGCTCTCCCACCCCACCCCCTTATTCACCTCTCCCAGGGGAAGGAGGAGTGACTTGTTTAATTAGCAAGTTCTGGAAAGAAGTAGCAATGTTTAACCTCTTGCTCCACCCACCCTCTGTCTGGAGTCTGGCAGGCTGTCTGAAGTGCACGTTTGTTCTGTTCCTTGGTGCTTTAGATTGTATGGGAAGACATTTGCTCCCCAGCCTGGGGCTGCCAGTTAGTAAGCCTGTCTATTTCTTGGGACCAGTGTTTGGAAACCCACGTCTTTGCAAATAGAAACCTTATTCTTCAATCAAGATTTCTCCTAATACAACTGATCTTTTAGCCTCCCATCAGCCTTTTTCTTCTATCTTATTTTCTAAGTCATTGAGAACTAAGGTGGGGAAGAAGATGTTATAGTTAATTATTGTGCCACCTCAAATTCCAATAATAGATGTACAGAAGCTACCCTATTAAGAATATTTTAGAATTACAGAGCTTTATAGACTGGGAAGATTAAAAAACCCTCTAATATAAAGAAACTAAGGGTCAGAGGGCTTATCCAGCTAATTAGCACAATGCTAGAAATTGCACACTGGTTTTCAAATACCTGGCATAATATGTAGTGATTAAAATCCTGAGTTCTGTAGGTAGGCTGTTTCTGCTTAAATTCTGATTCCCTAACTTATTAGCCATGTGTACGTGGACCAATATTTAAATCTATATGTATTTTCTCATTCACATAATGGGCATGATGATAGTGCTGTCTCATAGGGTTGCTATAAGGATTAAATGAGATAATTCATGCAGTGCATTCAACCCAGTACCTGATACATAGCAAAAAACACTTTATAAATATAGCTATTATTTTCCTACCATGTTTTCTTGAATTGATTACAGTGAATCTCTATAGCAAAAGAGAAATAAGAAGTTATGTCAATTAAGATTCTGTTTACATTAATTTGTGCTAGAAGCTGTAGTTCTCATTGTATTAGTGCCCAGTAAGGAATGATGCTACACTGGAATTTCACAAGCACATTTGATCTCTTGCTAACATTTTACAGTAGATACACTAGCCAGGATTGTCAAGATAGAATCAACAGGTGGAAATGTATTTGAAATAATGGAAGAGTAGCTTTTATCATAGAACAATAATTGACTGCACTATTTCGTGAATCTGCTATTTGTTTCTCTGCTACTGTGGACAGGAATTTCTGGTTGTATACATATAAGAAGTGTCTCTTTGAAGCTGATACCATCATGCATATATTTTTTTGGTGATTTATCACTTGAGTTTTTCTGTATCACCCTGTATACTCTCCACCTCTTCTTTATGGCTAGGGCCCATATCTCCTCCAATTTTTTCCTTTCTAGTGTTCAGAATACAGCTCTAGGTAAAAATCTGTACTCCATGATTATTGGTGACTACGAAAAAAAATTGTATGTGTTTCTGTGTTTAAAATCAGGAAACTAAGTTTCCAGGGTTAATTTTACTTGAATCTGAATTTGTGTCAATTTCAGATTCCATAAATATCCCACATAAAATACAGCTGACTCTGGCCTCCCTCACCGTCCAGGCTGATGGAAGGATAGAATGAGATGACAGATAGGAAAGCTATTTGGAAATCAAATCTATTTATAACTCAGAAACTGGTTGATACTTTCCTGAGTCTGGCTGGGTTTCTTAGAGCCTTTTGGGGTAGGCATATCTCTGATTCTGTCTTTACAATGATTCCATTACAGAATCTAAAAGGGCAAGAGAGAGACTCTCTGGGAGACCCCTGGTCCTGAAGTAGAATACAGAGTGGTATACAGGTGCAATAAGGGCGTAGTAGATGGAAACTTAGTAGAATGCTCTCCCTGTTCCTTACTGTAAATCTTAATCCTGTCTGTCCTTCAAAATCAACCCAAGAGCACACTCTTCTATGGAACTTCCTTTGAGAATCAGTACCACAAGATTACTTGCAAAAAGCTGGTCACATAATAGATTGGTTTGATTGACTAATTGACTGGTTGGCTACAAGGAATTAAATTAGTTAAGGTATAATTCTCAAGAGATTTCCGGAGAATATGTCTCTACTTCCTGCTTGAATTATCACTAATAATTCCATGGTTACACTAAAGACAGAAAAATACTTTAAGAATATGCAAAGCTTTTTATGTTAAACTTGAAAATATATTCTCATCATGCCTGTTTAGCCCTACTTTCATTCCTAAGTGCAATAAAAAGAAGCCCACCAAAAAGTCATCTGTACAACTGTTGCCACCTATAGGTGACAAATGTGTATATTAATTTTACAATTCTGATGAAGCACAACATAGGAAGGAAATGGCTATGTTTGATGGAACTTACACAATTCTTATCAAACACTAATCTTCTCTGGGTTTATCTTTATTATTGTTAGGTAAATCTTATTTCAGATGTCCCCCTTAAAGATAATATTGGCTAATATTTGTAAAGTACTTTTCTAAGATAGAGGTTAAGAGCTCGAGCTCTGCAGACAGACTGCCTGGATTCAAAGCCAGACTCCACCACGTACTGCTGCAGGACCTTAAACAACTTAACTTCCTAGAGCCTTGATTGCCTGTAAATGGAGATACTAGTGGCACCTACCCTGTAGAATGGATGGGAAGATGAAACAGATAATCCATGCAACACGCTTAGCAGAGTGTCTGCATAGAACAGGCACTCAAATTAATTGCTGACTGTTATTACCATGATTAGTTTGCCAAGCACCTTCATATACAGTTGCTGCAAACTAATTGCACTATTTTGTTACCGTTTCCCATATATATCAGCACATTACTGTTTGACCTCAATGCCTTTTTTATATTTTAAATCTAAATGTTATATGACTTCAAAATTTTAAAAATATCTGAGATCTGACAAGACAGTGTTGAGGCTGCTTGAGTATACCCCTGTAGGCAGAGAAGTAAGCCACTTTAGCTTTTATTCATAGCTAGTGAGACCACTGGAAAAGCCCAGCCAACAGGTGACACTTTTCTGATGCTAGAGAAAGAGCCCATTGAGAAACTACTGTTGATTTAGTTCTGGGCTAGGCTTTCAGGGAGAGAGCCAGAAAGAGGGATGGAGGACAGCGGGGTAGGACATTAAAAAAAAGTATAAAATGTGATCCCTAGCTCAGAAACTCAAACAGTACAAAGATTGCAATGTGACATGCATACTGGGTTTTTATGTTATTGTTGCTTTGTTTTACTATGGGGCACTAATTAAAAAATCAGGAAATTGTTAAATATAAGCAAATATTGATGTAGACACAGCACATGCTCCTGAGCTGACTGCAGTCCCCACCACTCCCTGTGGCTTCCCAGCCCAGAGGCTAAATGTCAATTGGCCCTTTTAGTCGATTTTTGCACTGATGTTGTTCTTGTAGTCAAGAAATATGCCGGGCGCGGTGGCTCACGCCTGTAATCCTAGCTCTTGGGAGGCCGAGGCGGGCGGATTGCTCAAGGTCAGGAGTTCAAAACCAGCCTGAGCAAGAGCGAGACCCCGTCTCTACTATAAATAGAAAGAAATTAATTGGCCAACTGATATATATATAAAAAATTAGCCGGGCATGGTGGCGCATGCCTGTAGTCCCAGCTACTTGGGAGGCTGAGGCAGAAGGATCACTCGAGCCCAGGAGTTTGAGGTTGCTGTGAGCTCTGACGCCACGGCACTCACTCTAGCCTGGACAACAAAGCGAGACTCTGTCTCAAAAAAAAAAAAAAAAAAGAAATATTTCTGCGCTAACCTTTCATCAAAACTGTAACAATGAAAAGGAAGCCTGAGAAGGTCGTGATTTTCTTATAATGGGTCCTTCTT